GAGAGAGAGAGAGAGGCAGAGGGAGAAGCAGGCTCCCAAGGAGCAGGGAGCCCGATGCGGGACTTGATCCCAGGACGCTGGGATCATGACCTGAGCCGAAGGCAGACGCTTAACCATCTGAGCCACCCAGGCGCCCAAGATTTTATTTTTTTAATTAGTCCCTACACCCAGCGAGGGGCTCAGACTTACTGCCCTGAGATCGAGTTGCATGTTCCACTGACTGAACCAGCCGGGCCCCCCTGATGCTTTTTCACTGTTTGACTTCCCATTCTAGGTACTTAAGACTTACGTCTTTCTTTGCTTCTCTTCACTGCACAGATGCACCCTTTGCATCTCCATAACCTCGCAATAAAATTTAATTTTGTTTAGATCAGTCTTTACCATTTATATCTTTAGACTGTATAAATGCCAGAGCTATATAATAAACTATGATTACTTTTCCTATTTGACCTTTTGTTTCCTTAGGAGCTAATTACCTTGTTTCATTTCCTTTTTAAGTTGGTGCTAATCCAGTCCATCTGCGCTTTCAGCACTTGTCCCCAGGTTGGTGCAGAGCTGTCTTCCCCACGTGAACCCTGTGCTCCATAGTCCATGTTTTCTTCTTGTTATTTTTTTTCATGTTTTTTTTGATTTACCATTTTGGTTGAGCGCATCTTCCTGTACCTCAGAAAGGGTGCATGAGAGGTAGAAGTTTTTGAGACCTTGTATGTCTGAAAATGTTATTCTCCTATTCCCACAGTTGATTGAGAGTTTGGCTGGCTATGGAATTCTAAATTGGGAATAATTTTCCTTCAGAATTTTGGAGGCATTTAATTGCCTTTTGATTCCAGTATTGCTCTTGAGAAGTCTGATGCCATTCTGATTGTTTTAATTCTGTCTATGTGACCCCGACCCCCTGGGAGCATGTAAGGATATTCTTTTGTCACCACAATATTTTCATTTTCTTTAAAAGGTATTTTTTTGGTAAAGTCCACCACCTGTGCCTTGAATAGTGTCTGACATAGAGTTGGTGCCTAATAAATATTTAACTGAGTGAGTGGCTGTTTCTATCTCTGAGCTGGTTGCATGTCTCACCTCCCCCTTTGGAGGTGAAGGCCTGGCTGTTGGTGTTCTACAGGACGGGTTGTGGTTGAGGGTTGGGTCCTCCAAGCTTCTATCTCGTGTTGCCCACGAGAGTTCTTAGAGTTCCCCTGCCATGTCTCAGTGGACATGGCAGTCCTACTTCTCAGAATCGTCCATTTTAAATTTGTCAGTGTCCATTATTCCTAGCAGGAGTTGACTGTAACACTGAAGGTTTCTCTGTTTGTTTATTTAAGCAATCTCTACACCCAACGTGGGGCTCAAACTCACGACCCCCAGATCAAGAGTTGCATGCTTGGGCTCCTGGGTGGCTCAGTTGGTTGAGCGACTGCCTTCGGCTCAGGTCATGATCCTGGAGTCCCTGGATCGAGTCCCGCATTGGGCTCCCTGCTCGGCGGGGAGTCTCCTCTGACCCTCCCCCCTCTCATGTGCTCTCTCTCATTCTCTCTCTCTCAAATAAATAAATAAAATCTTTAAAAAAAAAAAAAAAAAGAGTTGCATGCTCTTTCAACTGAGCCAGCCAGGAGCCCCCAGGACTGAGTTTTTTAATTGCTGTAACATACCAGTGATTAAGAGAAATTTTGGGGGCACCATGTTGGGTGTAGAGATTACTTAAATAAAATTTTTAAAAACCTCAGTCTTGATGTAAAGGACAGGTTATATTGTTTCGTCTTTTTTTTTTCTTTTTATAAAGGACAGGTTATATTAAAGGGGATTTGAGTCTGAGACATGCAGTGTAGTAATTAGGCCATAATGGCTTTGTCTGTTGAAAAGTGGATTAGAGAGTCCTCATGACAGGCGAGGGAATAAAACGGTATTGGATTCAGGCGCTGGCTCCAACGCTGGTTCATTCATTTATTGAGCACATACTTAGGACGTGCCTGTGGAGTGCCAGGCATTGTTCTGGCTGATTCATGATTCTAGGTTACTGGGAGGCATACACAGCCCAAGAGTTGGAAGAAAGTCTTAGGGACGGTGTGAGTGCTAGGCTGACAAAGTGTGATGTTTGGGCGGATCTAGATTCCCAGTATTTTTACCCTTTAGAAATCGGTGTAACCACTATCATAACCCTTTCAGCTGGGAGTTTAAATAGGAAGCTTGAGAAGTTTCATATTTTAAGTGAACTCTTATCCATGTTTTCTTTCAGTTTTTGCCATTTTATTTGAATTTTTTAAAATTAAATATTTTGAGAGAGATAGCAAATGGGCGCAAGCATGAGCAGGGTGGGGGCGGTGGGGGGCAGGGCCAGAGGGAGAAGCAGACACCCCACCGAGTGGGGAGCCTGATGCGGGACTCGATCCTAGGACCCTGGGATCACCACCTGACATGAAGGCAGACGCTTTATCGACAGCCATCCACACGCCCCTAGTTTTTTGCCATTTTATTCAGAGAGCTCTCTTTACCTTCACCTGTATGCATATAGACCTTTGCCTGAGTTTTCTTCTAGTTTCTCATTTTTTTTCAACATTTAATTTTTTTTTTTTTTTAAAGATTTTATTTATTTATTTGAGACAGAGAGAATGAGAGAGACAGAGAGCACATGAGAGGGGGAGGGTCAGAGGGAGAAG